CCCCGGCGCGCACGGCCGGCGCGGCGCGAAGCCTCCCGCGGACCCGGCCGCTTTCGCAGGGACGTGAAGCCCGTGCCAGCAGAAAAACTGAATGACCTTGGAAATCGCTATCTGGGGCTAGATTGATTCTCGCCGCCTGTCTCCTGCTCTCAGGAACTCTACGATTAACGCAGATTTAAACATTTTAGGGGCCTTTTAAAAAACAAGAACGTGTACACTTAATAACTAACTTAATGATTCCTGAACTAACGAAGCATTTGCCTAAAACTGAACGCAGAAGAGGTTTTCTTTTACTGTATGCTTGCTCAGAAACTACCAATAAAACAAGCAAGGCGATGCCTTGCTTTTAGAAGAACATTCTTTTTAAGAGCAGTTATTTATTCTGCTGATCAGCTGATAAAAGCAGAAAGCTTCAAACTCCCTGGAAGACGGGGCAGACTCCGGCTCCGGACGACTCCCGGCTGTAGCAATGGCCGCTCTCCTGGGCACGTGAGCGTGGCCCTTGCTCCCGGCAGGATGCAGGTGGAAGTTTCTGCGCCCCTTCTCTGGGGGGCTGTGAAATGATTCAGGTGTTGCTGCAGAGGTGAGCAATATCGTGGATGTACCTATGAACTCCTGTGCGCTTGGCCGCCGTGGCAGAAATGGCATAGTTCCCAAAGATAGTGATTTTTTAAATTGCCATGACTGAAAATTTAAATTCAAGAGGATTTATTTTGTCTGTGGAGACCTTGAATTATGTTTCTGGCATTAATAATTGTAACGGACTCTAACTGTTGACAAGAACTGTGAATATTGACATAAACCTCCATTTTTTTCTTAAATTTGATTTTGATTTTTAAATGAATAGACATGATCTTCCTCATTGTATGCAAGATGTATATTTTCTTTCTTGGGAATCAGAGGAGCAATCTGCCTTCTCCCTTCAAATAAAATTCATTATTCATACCCAAATAGTGGTGAGTCTATTGGAATTAACCTTGACAAAAATGTTTTCCTTAGCTTTCTAATCAAATAGCATGGATGAGACAGAGTATCGTCTCCTGAAGGGAGCCAAAAAAGACAGCCTGATCCAATGAACTCTTCCCTTTCCTCTCCAGTCATTCTTTGGTTTAAATTGAGACCCTAGAAATATTATCTTCTCTAACTGCTGGTCCAGGAAGCCTGAATTTGCTGAGATTACTCCCTCCCTCCTTCTTCCTCACCCTGTTTTATTCCAAAGTAACTGCCTTTCTCAGGAAAATAAAACAATCTAGATTTCCTCTTCCTTTCCTGGGAAACGAATGTGTCTCTTCAGTGTTTATTTCCTATCTCACAGTACCTGTTTGTTTTAGAAGTGCCTTGTATTTGCTAGAGATTGGTCAAGAGCACTGGACAAGCTGATGAGTGGCCTTTCTCTTTCTGGCTTGTTTTTTGTTTTTTTTTTCTTTCTTTCTCTCTTTCCTTAAAGCTAAGGTTTGCCAGAGTGATGCACTGATGCTGAGGAGGCATCAACAGCTATGGGACTGTAACCCTGTCCAATGTAAACACTGGCAGTGTCTACAGAGAGAGATCGTGAGACGCTGAAGCAGAGTGTAGCTGCTGCTAAGCAGGTCATCTGCTCACTAAGGCTCAGATTGCAGTGTACCCTAATCATAAAACATGAACCTGTCCAGGCGGATTGAATGGAGGACTCTGAATGTGAGCAGTAGTGTTATGAACATATCTGAGCATCTCTCCTGCCCTCTTGGATTTGGTTACTACAATGCAGTTGACATCTGTATCCTTGAGACAGTTGTTATTGTCTTGCTAACGTTTTTAATTATTGCGGGTAACTTAACTGTTATATTTGTTTTTCACTGTGCTCCACTTSTGCATCATTATACCACCAGCTACTTTATTCAGACCATGGCCTATGCTGACCTTTTTGTTGGAGTTAGCTGCTTGGTTCCTACTTTGTCGCTGCTTCACTATTCGACAGGTGTCCACGAGTCCCTGACATGTCAAGTTTTTGGATACATCATCTCCGTGCTAAAAAGCGTCTCTATGGCATGTCTCGCTTGCATCAGCGTGGATCGCTATCTCGCTATCACAAAGCCTCTCTCCTATAACCAACTGGTCACACCTTGTCGCTTGAGAATCTGCATCATCTTGATCTGGATATACTCTTGTCTGATCTTCTTGCCTTCCTTCTTTGGCTGGGGAAAACCTGGTTACCACGGAGATATTTTTGAATGGTGTGCTACCTCCTGGCTAACTAACGCCTATTTCACTGGCTTCATTGTATGCTTACTCTATGCTCCTGCTGCCTTTGTCATATGCTTCACCTATTTCCACATCTTTAAAATTTGCCGRCAGCACACCAAAGAGATAAACGATCGCAGAGCTCGGTTTCCTAGCCACGAAGTGGACGCTGCTGGGGACACTGGCCACAGCCCCGACCGCCGTTACGCCATGGTTTTGTTTCGGATAACCAGCGTGTTCTACGTGCTCTGGCTCCCTTATATCATATACTTTCTGCTGGAGAGCTCTCGGGTGTTGGAAAACCCAGCGCTCTCCTTCTTAACGACGTGGCTTGCTATAAGCAATAGTTTCTGCAACTGTGTGATATATAGCCTCTCCAACAGTGTTTTCAGGCTGGGACTCCGGAGACTGTCAGAGACAATATGTTCATCTTGTATGTGTTTAAAAGACAGGGATGTACGGGACCCTAAGCCGAGAAAACGGGCTAATTCCTGCTCTATTTAAAGAGAACTGGCGCATGTAATCAAACATGGAGTTTTGATAGCATTTGATATATCTGGAAACTTGCCAGAACAGAAATATTTACTTGAATAGTTTGCTATGATCTTAGAGATGAGTTGAAAAGGGATTTCAAGAAAAGGAAAAGGCGGCTATAAGAGGGGTCACTGAACTTAAATACAGCTCTTGAAATAGTGAGGAGACAGATTCAACAGAGAAGATGAAGAAAGTCAAAACTCAAATCTTCCAAACGGCATGAAATAACTAGCAGTCAAAGGAGGTTCCTCATAAAACCAATTAGTTAGTAATTACCTTACATTTTCCCCCTTGTAGAAAGGTTGTCTTATTATCTTTGTATCCAAATATACTGTAGCCTTCTGAATTTAAATATATTTAAGAGGAAACAACAACACAGTAAGTGGCTATCCGTAAATTATATTCCTGAGGATTTAGAATAGATGTTGCAGATTATTAATCTCTTGTACAATTTTCAGTTGTACAAATAATCCGTAATGCATAAAACATGCTCTGGGCATGATGCTTTTGGATAAAATTGCACATTTTGATAACAATTTTCACAAAACTGCTCCCTTCCATTTTCCCCTTCCTGAGCATTCCTGGTACTGTTCTACAGAAGTGGCTTGGTTTGAGGGTGCCTCCAAGGCCACCTGATCCTCTTTTCCTGCAGAAAGAAACAGCCTTTTCCAACCAGCTGAGTAAGCGCAGTCGCCCCATGTTCAATGACTTCTTCAGCCTTTCATTCTCTTGATCTTGTTAAATTAGCGCTCAGTATTGATGTAGTGTCCTTTAGGGTGTACTGAAGCTTTTCCTTTATCRGCTACACAGATAATCCTAATGCAAATATGATAATGACACACAGCAGTGTGCATCACTGCTTAGAAGAATAAAAATAAATAAGAGAACCTTTTCTTTGGGAGGTCTAAATAGCTTACTGTTGTAGCTGCCAATCCTTTCTGTGAATCGAGCTTGCACATACTGTACTTTTTTTCTTTTTTTTTTTTTAAGAGAATTTGTAGTCTGTGCCTAATGTTTTCACAGCACATGGAACAGGTCAGTGCTACAGGATAAAAAAAAAAATTGCTTTAAAAGAAATACTTCTGTGCAGTTGTTGAATAGATATTTGTTCATGAAGTGTTCTTGGAGGAGGTGACCAATACAGTTTAGTATTAAATACAGGGAGAGAGCTTCAGTATTTCCTTTTGTAATGAACTGACTTTCAGGTCCAGTGATTAAATATTTTTGTTTTGCAGGGGTACATATTAGGGTTGTGTAATAAATTGCCAGGGGTTCAGATGCATGACAATAAATGAAATATTTAAATTATTATTTTTGAACCAAATGTAGTTTTCTTAGATGGTTATTGGCTTTTTAAAAAGGCCCAATTATTGATCATTGGTGCCTTTTAACACTGCACTATTATTCCTTCTCTTACCAAAATGCGTGTGTAAAGATTGTGCCTATTACTTTTTGTAAAGGAAGCTGAACCACACTTGCACACTGGTGGTTTGGGGCTCGATCCCCTTAAGTCTGTGCTCTTTGTTTTGTTGAGGTGGTTCTGAACCCCTGTACATTTTTAAAACTGTAAGAAAGCTGAAACAATGGAATAAAGTAGTATTATGTATATCAAAACCAGCCTTGGCTTTAGTTCCCTGATGTTATGCTCTGTTCTCTTGGAAAATGCTTTTGGGTTAGAATTTAAAAAGAGCTATCTGAAATCCTAAACTAAAAGCTGCTTACTTGCTGTCTTCAATGATTTCTGCTGTTTTTTTACATGGTATGGTCTTGAAAGTGGGTTGAAATATGACTTGAAACGTTCCTCCAGCTAAGCAGAGCTGTTGCTGACAGTTATCCCTGACAGATACTACAAAAAATGAGCGGTATTCTTTGCACATACCTCATCCTGCTTCACGTCTCTGGGATCCGTTTGTGGCTGCCTTTTGCAAGCTTACTGCTTTCACAAGGCTCTCCAGGGCAGACCGCTGCTTTCGAGAGCAGCGTAACTCTGACTCTTCCCCTAAACAATCTTAGATCTTATTTAGCAGTTATTATATTTAGTTTCCCAGTAATTAGTCCAGGAACGTGCAAGAATTAATCCAGAAACAGCAAAATATCTAATTTCTCCTAACTCCCCGGGCTGGTTTCATGCCAGCGAGGTAGCTCTGTAGCTGCACAGCTCGGGCCCTGATGTAGAGCCCTGTASCTGCACTCTGCGCTCGGACAGTTCCCCACTCTGGCCCTCGGTGGCGTTCCTGGGAACAAGTTTCTGTGTGACCTCCTGACCCTTGAGTGCAGTTCTACAAAATACTTGGAGTTTTGCAGACCTCTTCTTAAAAGCAAAAAACCCAACCTGAAGGAAATAGATCTGTGGCTAGTGCAGTACTGTAATTACAGATACAAAACAGATGCATAAGCTTACACCTGAGTATTCGTATGGCCGTAGTTGAACYCTGCCTGTGTAACCTCAGCAAACGGAGCTGATGTGCCGCGACTTGCAGCTTTCCTGCCTGCACACGGGGGCTCGGAGAGGCAGCTTTGCGTGGAAGAGGCTGCAGCAGGAGGCACCTCAGCAGCCAGTGCGCCCGCCGCCCTTCGGAGCAGAGGTAGCAGCGCTTCCCTCCCCGCCGGCCACCACCGCCTGAGCCTGGGGGTTTGTCAYGCGGGATGAGCACTGCCTTTCCCCTCAGGCTGTGGATAGATGGAAAGAGCACTATAGAAATGCACTACCCTGCGAATGAATGATAGGTTCCCTTCTTTAATATTTTTTTTCCTTCAGGCATGTGTGTGATAGCTTACATGGATATAAGAATGCTAGTTTGCTTCTCTGGGCCCTCCATCTCAGTTGCTGGGAAATCACGCTGCTCTCTGTACATCTGAGGCTCCTGGAATCTGTCAAATTAGGCATCCCCAGCACAGCTAAATCCTGCCTTCTTTATTGCTCTTTCCAAGGACACAATTTGACCAATAACAATAGCCAGTCATATGAATGTTTAAATTTAGTAAGTGGGTTTCATTTTTCAAAGTATTTTCTAAAARCATTATTTTAAATTTTATTTGAGGAAGTTTTGTTATTGTTCTATAAATGCTGGCTGAACATTCCAGCTGGTGCTGCAGAGAACTGCGGGGCTGGACATTTTGATGAATAAAGGAAGGCCAACGGAAATTTCTGTCCCCCAATTAATCACAAAAATATTGCAAGAGTAATACCCTGCTATCATGTACCTAGAGGGCTTTATGTAATAAGTACCTAGTGAATACGTGACTTGATACTAACCAAAGAAGTYGACGTGCACAACTCGACCAGCAAATCAGAGCTGGTAATTGCATATAATAAGCAAGTCTCTCCATCTCCTCAAACCTTGAATCGCTAGAAGTTGTTAGTTCTTTACAACATTATCCAGTCATGAGAAAAAGCAGCTTTTTATAAGTAACATGTTAAATAAAAAGGTTAAATTGAAGAGGTATCATAGGTTAAGAACAAAAAGTATCTACAAGGCTTCTTCGTGCAGGTAGATTGTTTTGCCACTGTATTTCTCTTAAACCTGTGTAACAGAGGTTATGTAAAGATGGATCATATAAGAGTTTTTGAAATCTCCTGTCTTCAGCCTAGGGAAAAGTTAAAAAAAAAAAAATCATATAGTGGTAGCCAAACTGTTACCAGATAAATAGGTTTAAAGTAGTATTTTTTTTCTTTTCTTTTTTTTCCTGTATTTTTCCTTAATTTCTAGAATTGCTGGATTAAATTTCTTCTTAATAAATGATTATGTATTCTGTAAAGCCGCAGAGCTGGATTTCAAATGTTTTTCCTACTGGTCATGTAATAATAAGATTTTTTTTTCATTTTTGCTTACAAAGCCATTCTGTAATTGTGTTTAGAAAAACATGGTGTATCATGCTTTGTTGATTTTCATGCAAAATCTTTGTGCTTCCTCTAGAGAAAGATTTGGAGTGTTTTGCTCTGCTGGTGGTACCGTTCATAGAGACAATTTGTGAAGATCTTTTATAAATAGCATTTATAATGTTTTTACAAATATTCTTCATTCATGTTAGGCGTTTGAATAACCATAATCCCATTTAGATTTCATACTCAGAAAAACAATTTTTGTTTTATGTATGTGTGTGTGTGTGTATATATATATGTATATGCATATGAAATAGCTTACCAGTCAATACTGAAAATCAGCTACTGAGAAAAGTGTATCAACTAATGGTTAGCTATGTCATTGGCTTTTTATCTAGCATATAACAAATGGAGTTTAAATAGAAGCAGAAGTTGTTGCAATAGTATATTGAGCTGATGGGATATGCATCAGCTTTTATACTGCCACAGTGGTTTCTCAACATGAAATTATTTTATCTATTAGGATTTGCAGCCAAGCAAATAAATAAATGGATTTTTTTTTTAAATTCTGCTGGTTGGGTGTTGAGGATCCTTGCTCCTGTTGAGCACTTGCTCCCTGTAGGACTGTGCCTTTCAGAAATCACTAGACTGAGCTCCGATGATGCCCTGGAGCTCGTTTGCCAAGGAAAAGTGCCAGCCCAGGGAGGGGGGCACAGTGTCTATGTAGGTGACAGGGACCTCCCCACCTGCCCTCTGGGAGCAGCTCAYGTTCCCATCCTTCCCCTTCACTGCCACCTAAAGGACAAGTTTAATTCTTTGCATTTATTCCCCCCTCTCCCCCTTTGCTTTTCCCTAGGCCGATTTCTGGGAGGGGTGGTGCATCATTTTCCTAGTGATCTGAATTGCAATTATTTTCCCTTTTTTTTTTTTCCATAGAATATTTTTATGTCTATTGCTGAATGGTGAAACAGACATGACTTGGTTAACCTACTGCTAGCTGATTTTTTAGGGCTTTTTGGAAAAGGAAGCATCTCTGAGGTTGTTTGCTTATCACTTAACATATTTTTCTGCAACTTAAATATAGTATCTTTCAAAGACTAGTTTTTTAATTTAAATATGTATGTATGTACATATATATATATACACACACACACATACAGTATACTGAATTATACAAAGATCTTTACAGTCAGTAAACTTTATTTTAAACCAGTCTATGTAATTTCTACAGTTTCTACAGATTAGTGGGGTGAAAGCAGTTTGGGAGGTTATTTAAGATAACTTCCTACTCACGGATTTTTCCAGTCACTCTTCCTTATTTTTTTCTCCACCTGATATCAGGAAAATCCTTCTAAAAATAAAACTTGAGGTCCATGAGTTGTAAGTGCTACAGGAACAGTTTCTGCATAGAGAAAAGGCTGTAACTGGCTCTGTTCTCTGACATACTCTTAAGAAAATRGCAGCAAAAACTAATTTTACTTTAGCATCCTTAATTTCAGTAGATTTTTCCTTTTTCAGAGTTATGTGAAGGATAAAGTGAACATACAGAAACCTTAGTGCTTTCAGCTATGTTGACAGGAGGCCAAGAAAAGCAATTTCAGGTAATAAAAGCACCTGAAGATCTTTGAGATTCCATCACAATGTTCTGTAAACTGGAACCAAACTTAACCCTCTTGAGGAGAACATGGCAGACTAAAGAAGGCAAAAGGCTAAAGTCTCTTCTAGTTGCTCTTAATCAGCAGGTGGCTCCAATTGAACCTAARCAGGTGATTCTGCTCACAGGTAACTTGTATAAGTGCAGTGATTGCCAGAGAGAAAGGGCTTGCTGTTTGCATGCATTATTTGTGCTGCCTTAAAGATTATCAGCTAAGTTTTATTATCAACATCACTCAAAAAAGTGACAAAAGAAGAAAGCTGAGAAGAAGCAGCCCAGGCAAGTCTGTATCTTGCTCTCAGTATTTTTTTTTTAATTTTAAGTGAAATCTGTACATTTATTGACTTTATTTTTCTTCTATGTGATATTGAAACAATTTTCTTTCCTCATGGAGGTAATCAGTTTTAGGAGGGATTTAAATGAAAAATAGGATGGGTAAGTATCTCAGGGGTGTGTTCCCTGGAAGAAAACAYAGCATGCTAGTTGTAGGGCTTATAGGTATTTTTCATTTTGTATGTTCCATATAGAAAAGTCTTAGAGTATTATGCGGGAAAGCTTTAGTGTGTGCATGATCTTTCAAGTATTACTTGCATATTGCTGTTGTCTCATGTCAACATTTTGAGTTGTAAATGGGCAAATAATATTTTCAGTTACTGGAGAAAGCTGTTTTTACCCCCAGAAGACATTCATTGTAGYTCCTAGGGCTTGAAGTGTTTATTAACTGACTCTTGTGCTTGGGTTCTCATTAGGTGCTTTATGGTAGGAGAACAGAGCATCTGTGTCTCAAGGCAGAGTTGTTGACTGCTCCTCAAGTGAATTGCTGCCCATGTCTTGTCAGGGATCATTCCACGGGGGAGCACAGGTCATGCTGTGTCKTTGGGTGCATGTGCCTTGTGAGGGGGGCTCTTTTCTTGCCTGAAATGGTGTATGGAGTTAGCTGGATTAGGCTGTCTTATGTTGCCCTGTCCCCWGTGTCTTTGTTCTTGCTAAAACCATGCTAAAACCATGCGTTTACCAAGTAAAATCTATGTTGTTTTGGAAGGGATAAACTTT